AAAAAAAGCTGTCTTGAAAACTGGATCAGAATTTATGTTTCATCTGATGTGGAAGCAAATGTCTGCAGTCTTTTTTTATTTGTTTCCTTCATAGAGCCTCATGATTTTTATTCTCAAGGCTCCATGATACAAGTATTTGCTTACTTATATCCTGTCTATCTCCATGGACAAGACCTGCAAAGGGCGACCATGGAATCTCGAATATCAGAAGAACACCAATATCTCCTAAATCACGGCAGCAAAAACCCACTTCTTTACTCAGGATGCATGGTTGGCTTTGATGTGGACTTGCCTTGATGTGGATTCTAGGAACCCAAAAAATCACTCATGTCTCTCTTTCCAAACCTGCCTACTAATCCCTACAGGTTGTGCTCTTTAGCCTACCATCCATGCAGTAAATACTTCCTGACAGATCAGAAGTTTCATTTATTGTGTATTTTATTTCTTCCTAATGACTTGGCATTTCATGCCGAACCAGCCAGTTATGAAGCCAATTTTCAGAGCTTCATTGCTTCCGAGCACCCTAAATTGTAATTGTGAAGCTGTGAAATATTTTTAATTGAATCAAGTGCACAAATTATAATGTCTGCAAAAGGGCGGGGATAATGTGGTTATTTTGCTTTATATAATTTGCATACAAGTTAATCGCCCTCTTTAGGCTCTGTTCTAATAGGCAGTATGATTTGTGCTTGAATAAAGTCTTGGTAATTATTACTGGGGTGTATACTGTGCAGTGCTTAATTTTTTAGAACAGAGACGTCTGAGATCTGGACCCTCTGGAAGCCTGAGAACTCATATGGGTAACTAGGTAACTGTGTTGCTCTAAGCAGAAAGAACAGAAAGATTTTGCAGATAGTCTAACAGAGGGCATAGACATAAGTAAGATGGGAAAATTGGTGGCAACAACCATTGGAGGAGGCAATGATTGGATATTTCCAAATGCTTGTCTTCCAGAATAGTTCTCAGAGCTGAGGGACTTTACTAGAAGAAGTGGCTTGAACAATTTATCAAGGATTTTTTCCTAATCTACTTCTAGAGTGTCTTAACACTAAAAACTGTCTTCAGCATATAAATTAGTTTTCAGGATTACAATCGCAGAGCAATCAGGATTACAATCCCAGAGCAATCAATAGCCTTCCTTGGAAGGTATTGTCACAGCTAGAAACCTGACTGCATTGGTTCAATATTGCTCCAATAGCAAAATCATTCAAAAGAGGTCAAAGTATTGGTTAGAGGAATATCATATCATCTTTTAAGGAAGAAATAAAATACACAATAAATGAAACTTCTGATGTGTCAGGAAGTATTTACTGCATGGATGGTAGGCCAAAGAGCACAACCTGTAGGAATTAGCGGGCAGGTTTGGAAAGAGGGATCTGATTTGTGCCATTTTCTCTGAAATTTAGAACTTGAAGTCACTCTGATCGTGATTTTCAGATTCTTTGGACAATTGTTGGAGAGGTGTGGGCCCTAAATACAGTCTACTGTTCTAGAAGTTACTACAAAGTTGCAATTAACTATCTCAGGATTTTTTTTTAAACTAGGAAGGATATCACAGATAATTTTGGGATCTTATTATTGCTGTTAAACATCTTCAAGTTAATCTTGACTTGTGGCAAATATCATGTTTTTTCTTGGCAAGAAGCTCAGAGGATATTTAGAATCTTAGCCACTGTATAAGATATTCACCAGTCACATATGGTTCAGGTTCAGTTTTTATTCAGTTGTTTTTGCATTTATCTTGGACATAGATTGTATATTTGACACTTGGCACCTTGTAAATTGACAGGAGTTAGTTTTATGTACTGTTGTTTTAAAATTGTATTATTTTGATTTTATGTTACTTGTGTTGACTTGTTGGATGGCCATCTGGTGGGGGATGCTTTGAATGTGATTTTCCTGTTTCGTGGCAGGGGGTTGGAATGTATGGCCTACAGGGTATCTTCCAACTCCATGATTCTTTGAGTCTATATATAGACTCATAGAATCATGGGCAAACTTTTTGATTCATTGTGTTTTAAAATTTGACAGATGGGCTGGACCAGTGGCAGATGGATGGAGTGTGTTTGTATAAACTAATTTAAAAAATGAACAAATTCCTATGTACACGGCACCTATCTCACTTGTAGTACAAAAAAGGAAAGAAAGAACAATACAGTATTTTAAATAAACAACACTTTTAACCAATATAAACTTAACAGTATTTCAGTGGAAGACCCCAGGGGGCATTCAGTCCAACTCCCTTTTGACATGCAGGAAAAGCACAAAACACCTCTGAAAAAAGGCTTTTGCTTTTGCTGGCAAAGGAGGCAGAAGGAGGGGGAGGAGCAGGAAAGAGGAGGCAAAGTTTGGAGAGTGGGGAGGCACGTCAGTGGGAGGAGGAAGAGGGAACCATGGTGCACCTCAGTATGCTTTGCAGAATCTATACTGCGGAATCGTGCTTGCATATGTCTCCAGCAGGATGTTGACCACTGCCTCCCTTTCTATTTACTCAGCTTTCAGTAAAG